TTTACACATAAACTTGATCTCATATAGGAGTTTGTGGAGAGACATGACTGGGGTAGCAGATTTTGTGCAAGGACCGGTGGTTATTGGGGTTAGAAAGAGGCGGATAGGAGTGGTAGCAAATGGGTTGGGGGAGGGTTAGGCAGCCCACAACTAGGTATCAAAGTCCGAGGATAAGTTGGTGGAGTAGTAAGGAGTAGTTTTTATGCAAGTGTTATCAGGAAGGGTTTTTTTTGCTCATTCTCTTGTTAGGCTGTTTTGTTGTTTCCTACATCGCCTTTTGCTTTAAAAGTCCTTACTTGTTTTAATCTTATCTGAGATGAGATGCCATATAACTTAATCCTCATCAAAGCAATTGCAGTGGGCATGCTTAAGTGAAGTGATACACATATAGTGAGAGACTTGTCAAGCTGATGCTGCATTTTGAAATTTCGCTCACAAAGGAATGCTTTAAATAGTCAATCAAAACACAATGTTGAAATTAACAGCTAGTAACTAATAGCAGGTCTACGGAGGATAGCCATCTTTTAAGGCTGCTGGGAAATTTGATTACTTGAGCAGAAAATCAGAATGATCAATTTAAGAGTTAACATTGAGCACACAACTTCTTAACTGCCAAATGGGTAATTTTGCCAAGAAATATATTACATTTTCTAACATATAACAATATTAGCAAGACACCTAACCTAGAACAACTGATAAGAAACCACAAAGAGAAACAAGTTAACAAATTTAGTTGAATACCTTAGCACAGGATGCCAAAGATTGGAGATAATGTTCATTCCCAGGACACTGAGACAATACATTTCATCAAACATTCACAATCAGATCTAATGAGTATGCTGGCAGAATATAAACTTTTGAAGATTGTAATGTGCAAGCAAAGGAATAATACCTCTTCTACAGCCTTTTCGAAACATTGAAATGCTTGCTCAAACTGAATCTTAGCCTCATCATGGTCCGGGGTTAGAAAAGCGTTAGCAGTGTGGGCATTCCCTAAGCACCACAGAGCCTCATGTTTTGCAGGATTGATAGCCAATGCCTCGTCCAATTTTGACACAACATCTAAATTTTGTTTATTTATTGTGAACCAAATAAAAAAGTTTTTAGCTGATTGTTTTAATGTAAAATAAAGATAAAAAACATAATGAAAACTCCTAACAGAAACAACATCATTTTCCCCTAGTATAGAGATTTAATAAGCATTAGCAACTACAACAATACCTTGAAGCATCTTCTTTGATTCCTTGATATCTCCAAATTGGGAGAATTCCAGCAAAGCTCCACCCCATCTTGTTAAATTATGTTATGATATAATATGTCATTTCTGTCTCTAAGATGCAAATGCTTGAGTTTTTTGATGAAGAGAAAAAGGCAATAATTATCACATGTGGTAATTCTTTAACAACAACTAATAATGGATATCAATTGCTAAAGAGTAATCAATGAATTCATTAGTAATCAAAATAATCCAATCATTGTCGAGATATAAAGAAATAATAAAAGATGTAGGATCAATCCACCATGCTGACCATGTTAGTATAATTGTATTCTAAAATTTGGCACCAACAGCTTCTGCAGAAGCAAGTCGTTATCAAGAAAACAACATATTTTGGAGAACTTGTTCCAAAAATTAAACCCTAAATTAAACCCTAAAACCCAAAATCAAGAACTTGTTTCAAAAATTAGGAATCGTACCAGGGCGAGAGCTAGAGATGCAGCAAAAGAACACATGTTTCCTCACTTTGCAAGATTTGAGTAGGAAATTCTTTCTATGCAGTCCTTCTCTTGCATTTTCCAAAAAGACTGTTGTTATGACTCAAGCTCTACCCCATGATATTGTCAAAAAGTGAGGAAACATGTGTTGAGAAGGAAAGTAGGCAAGCATAAGAAGTTATAACAGACTATTAACCAAACATATTAAGGCAATAATTCTTTAAAAAGGAGTATTATACAAAAAGGGTTCCTGAGAATACAATAATTTAAAAGTGATATGATATATAAGGAACTGTGAAATTGAAGATAAAAAGAGTTCAAAAACGGCGTCTTGATCTCTATAATTGGAACTTACAACAAGAGCATCTGAAACTTGTTCCAGATAATTTGTCAAGTTTGAAACCGCGTTTGTCACATCACACTTTGTCACATACATGAGGTCTGAAAATGAAACACCCTAAAAGACAATGTAAGACAAAGTCTATCTTCAAAAATTCATGTTGAGAAAAGATTTCAAAAACAAATTGAAACCATTTGTGTGTGTGAGTTGGTGCGATAGATAAAAGGGCATCTGAGATTATCTAATATGCAAGACCAAGTGTACAACAATTCAAAGTAATAAATTCTGTTGATCTGCAAAAACTTTGAAGGAGCAGCAGCAAGTCAAAACTAATCACACCTTCCACCACATGTGTCCATAACCCATAGCCTCCAATGCAACAGCTGGTACCAGCAGAGATGTTACATTATCTATATCGATGTAAATTTGAGATTACAGAAACAAAAATTAGAAATTCGACCAAAAAGTATCTGAAAATTGCCTAAAAGATGATCCATCAAGAAAGAGACTACATGATACAAAATTTGAATCATGAAGTAAGTCACTTAATGCATTGGAAGAAGGCATGAAAAATTACATAAAACATACCACCAAAACCTCCATTTAAAATTGTGATCTGACGTGCAGAAGCAGTTGTCGAAATTCTGTTACTAACTACCGAACCTGTTTTTTTGGTAGCATGAAAGTCAATCGCCACATACTTGTAAACAAAGTCATCCATCTTGAGATCAAATATAACTTCAATAAAGAAAAATGTAGAAAGGAAAAACAATAATGATAATGGTGGTAGCAGAAGATCACCAAATTCACCTATTAACTCTATTCTACAACTTCATTTTATGGATCATATAAAATTTCTTTACTTACTTCTTACACATATTTAATCAAACAAAAGATCAAATTCTAACCAATTCTTTGAATCAAACAACACCAACAATAGCAACAACAAATAGTTTATGGGTTAAAATATCCTAAATTGGACAAGGCTAAGGTATACCATAAAAGTATTGAAAATTAAAAAAAACCAAAGTTGATTAATGTAAACAGAGTCCGGCATAGCGGATTAGTACTGATCAAGAAATCAAAAACCTAAAACAAAATTTTGGTCATCAAKAATTYYAACATGCAATGATAACTATGATTGAAACAACCACCTTTGCATTTTAAGTAGAAGAAGAGTATTGTATAAATGAATAGAACAAATCATGTTATGTCAATTYAGGTTTAACACCAAGTTCCGTTAAYGACATAGGAGCTAAAGCTGAAATATATACAACTAGGATGGTGAGGCGACAACGAGAGGATGAGGATGAGATGGAGAGCGACGGCCAGAGGAGGAGGCGACGACAAGCGATGGCCAGGGAGGAGGCGACGATAAACAACGACCAA